CTTCTTGAAAGTGCACCGAGTCTATTGATGACTCACTTGCGGCTTTCACACCAGCGCTTTTCTCTTTCTAGCTCCGAGCTAGAGCTTTTCTGGTTCAGCTCCGGTTTCCCTTTTCTGCTCCCGCTCTGTTCACACCGCCCAGAGCTGCCGCTGCTGCGTCATGACGTCACCGTTTATGTGCCTGCTGCATAAAATCCCAACCGCGCGGAAATCCCTCACATCGACAACAACAACAATGGCCGATTGTATTGAAGCGCTGTTCGCTTTGGTTATCCTCTTACGAAACGAAATGGAAGGCATCGGACGACTTTACAAGGGACGACTTTACTTGGAACTTTACAAACATCACACGCAAGCATTTTGTTGTTGTTCAGGAGGTTGATCCCGCCCATGCCCCTGCCCCCGCTTCGACGTAAGAGAGACGTAAGCGACGCCGCCTCTTAGCTCCGAAGCTCTTGCCTCTAGACCGACAATTTTTTGGAGCTGGAAGTGAACCGAATTCCGGAGCTAAGAGGCGGAGCCTCTGCGGTGTGAACAGGAAAAAACAGTACTTTTCAGGCTCCAGCTCCGAGCCGGAGCTGAAAACGCGTTGGTGTGAAAGGGGCATGTGTCACTCGATTCTGTAGAAATATCCGAGCCAGAGTCCGACATCAGCCATATAGTTTGTGTATTATTCAACAGGTGTGTTCTACTCGTGACGTACCGTGACGTCGCTAACCGTCAAAAGCTGTTTTGTTCGGAGCGGTCGTGTAACATCGGAAGCAAGCATGGAAAGTTGTAATAAATCACGATTTATAAATACAGCGGGCATATTGTCATTAATGACAAATTATTTCCCATTAATAATAGTATATGTTTCTATGTATTTGTATTTTGTTGGTCGCACTTATTGTAAGTCGCTTTGGATAAAAGCGTTAGCTAAATGCAATGTAATGTAAAGTATATGTTATCGTAATAAGAACAGTATTGTCCTTCATTTCGTAAGATCAATTCATTTCAAGAAGAGCTTGTCTTACAAATTCTTTGCAAAAGTACATATTTGTTACTCATGCTGTGGATATTGTTGAAAAGAAAATGTAGGGCTACACAGAGTATGTTTTTAGTTGTGAGTTTCTGAAGTTTGTGTCTTCTAAACCTCACAATGTTTTCACTGGTTGTTATAAAGTAAAATAAATATTTGTACCGTAGTTTATCATTACAAACACATGGTGGCAGTAGTTATATTGTTCTGGTGTCATAGAGTAATGAGTGTGAAAGTATAAAAAAATAAGGGTACAAACCACAAAATATTAGCAAAAGTATAAATACAAATACAGATTAATTAAAATACTGAAAAGCTGACCATAGATGTCCAGATTTTCCAAAACGAAATTAAACGGACACATTTGGTCTGTAGATTTCTCCTTAATTAACTAAAAAGTAGTGTGATGCCCCTGTGGGTGCATCAGTAGATAGGGTGTGGCTGTTCTGTCTGTGCTGCATTGGCTCCAGTGATTGCACCGATTGCAGTAACTCAGGGCACCTGGGTCTGGTGCTCTGCAGCTATCTTAAAGCCTCTCTGCTCCTGTCTGCTCTCTCGCTCTGTTTTCCTGCAGGCACCCGGCTCTGATGAGTATAAATGTGTTGAATTGACCAGTGTTGTGAAAATAAACACCTTTACCTACCCGTTGACATGTTGTGTCTCCTTTTTGTTGTGGCCTTTTGAGCCAGGTCGCAACAAATGGGGGCTCGTCCAATGGGTTATTTATTCAAAAAGTTTGTGTAGTGCTCATTGAGCAGCTGATTCATTGTTGTGGTCCAGCTGTGTGCTGGCTCTGCGCTGCTATTTGGGGGACACATCATGTCTTTTGGGTTTCAGGATGCTTTAGTGTGTGACATGGCATCAGGGTTTGTGTGCCAATCAGAAGGTAAGATATTGCTGTTTGTTACGCTTTTGTAAAAGAGATTTTCCCCGCTAGGCTTAAGTGGCGTTTCCCCTTGGGTTCCGTCTGTTTGTTTTTTTCATAGTGTTGTGGCGACGTGGTTGGTGTCAGCTGTTTTCGGACAGCTGTCTCGGGGGCACATCCGCGTGATTTCTTGGTGTTACCTGCGTGCAGGTCGCTCCATAAATCCGCCGGGTTCCAGTGCGTAATTACCCGCCGCAAGCCACATGAAGACTAGGTGAGATTAGGAAGATTTTCGTAAGGCAGTTAGGGGGGAATTCTCTGTTGGGTTTTGTCTTTTCGCCCAGGCGTGTTGACAGTTGAGTACTTTGCTTTCTGATTGGGTATAGGCAATATATTATGGCTTCTTTGCCAGCGTTTGTGGATGCGCCCTCAGTATCTTTCTTGGATGGTTGCCAGAAGGCGCAGTTGATCGAAATAGCAGAGCAATATGACAAAGAAAAGAAAAGAAAAGATGGAAAGATGACATTAAAGCTGTCATCGTGTCATCTTTGTTTGAGCGGGGAGTGTTACAGAAGAGTGAGTCTGGTGTGGCAGGGGTCGGGCCAGTAGTGGTTCAGACAGCTGGTTTGACATTCGAACAGCAAAAGGAGCTTTTGGCCATGCAGTTTAATCAGGAGAGATTGCAGTTGGAGATGAAATTGGAGCAGGAGAGATTGCAGTTGGAGTTGAAGTTGGAGCAGGAGAAGTTGCAGTTGGAGATGAGGGGTCAGCAGCAGGAGGTAGAGAAGCGTTTAGAGGTGGAGAAGGTGCTGGAGGTGGAAAAGATTAAATGTGAGGTGGAACATGCTAGATTACGGCTGATGGGAGAGGGCAAGTTTTCTCCAGGGGAGGATGGTGGTGCTAGGTTAGCATCAGGCAGTGGCGATATAATTTCTTACTTGCGATTAGTGCCAAAGTTCAATGAGCGTGACCCGGACATTTTTTTCACTCTATTTGAACACATAGCAGAGGCAAGAAACTGGTCAGATTCGGACAGAGTGCTGTTACTTCAGTGTGTACTCACTGGGCGAGCACAGGAAGCCTATTCAGCTATTTGTGGCGAAAATACTTTGGACTATGATAGAGTAAAATCAGCGGTGTTGAAATCTTACGAACTGGTTCCTGAAGCGTATCGTCAAAGGTTCAGAAGTGGGGTCAAGGGAGATAAGCAGACACATGTGGAGTTTATCCGTGATTTAACTTCTCATTTTCAGCGGTGGTGCGCGGCAGCAAAGGTTGCAAGTTTTGACGGTCTTTGTGAGCTCATTGTCTTGGAACAATTTAAAAACATTCTCCCTCAGCGTGTGGCCACATATGTGAATGAACAGAAACCTCCCACCGCGTTTGGAGCTGCTGAATTAGCGGACGATTTTGTGTTGACACATAAGGGCAGTTTTGCGGAGAAATATTCTAGGGGTGATTGGAAACGTGGAGAAGACAATGGAGATGCCCGTGCAAAGTTTTCACCAGGCTCCTCCCGTAGATTTGCAGGTACAGGGCGACCCGAGGGGGCCAAAGTGGACCAATGTCACTATTGCAAAGGTGGGGGTCATTGGAAGGAGCAGTGTCCATTGCTGGAAACGAAGGGGAAGCCTCGTTTGTCACCACATGCTCCAGCCATGTGTTGTTCTGCCGTGTTGGTTAAAAAGCCACAGGGTGTAGGATCGGCATGGTGCCTGATAAGAAGCTGGTTTGTGCCGACTTGGATGTGGGTTCTGTTTTTGGGCCGTTCATAACGGAAGCCGTTGTGTCAATAGTTGGTAGTGACAAGTATGTTCCGATTAAGGTGTTGCGTGACACAGCAGCTAGATACTCATTTATTGTTGAGTCAGTGTTGCCTTTTTCGTCAGAGACAGAGACGGGGGATTTTGTGCTGATGAGGGGAATGGAGATGGGCTTGATTCCTGTGCGACGTCATACAGTAGTGCTGGATTGTGAGCTGGTACGGGGAGTTGTGTCTATCGGCGTGCGTCCCGCATTGCCACTTGATGGGGTACAGATGATTTTGGGCAACGATCTTGCTGGTTGTGTGGTGTGGGCAGGTGTGCCACCGCCTGTGGTGGTTTCCAGACCGTTGGCATCTGTAGAGCCAGATAAGAGTGGTTTGCAATTTCCAAGTGTGTCTCCTTTTTATACTATTACGCGTGTGCAGAGCCGTAGGATGTCTACTGACCTACCTGTTTCGGAGTCTGGAAAAAGTGGCCCAACACGGTCCTTTGACTTTCAGATCGAGACAAAGGTGAAGGAGAAGAAAGAGAGGAAACGCCGCAAAGCGAAGAAGAGGAGGCCGAAGGAGGTCAGCGCGCCCAAGAGGCCGATGAGCGCCTACATGCTGTGGCTCAACGCCAGCCAACCCAAGGAGGAGTGGGACATAAAGGCAGTGGAATCGAAGAAGCAGTACGAAATCGCAAGGCAAGAGCTCGAAGACAGAGGCGGAGGAGGAGCGTCCTCCAGTCCTAAGATGGAAAGTAAAAAGCTGGAGTTAAGAAGAAGGATGTTGGGTTGTCGTGGACCCCTTTGGGGCCCCGTCTTAAGGGGGGGGCTGTGATGCCCCTGTGGGTGCATCAGTAGATAGGGTGTGGCTGTTCTGTCTGTGCTGCATTGGCTCCAGTGATTGCACCGATTGCAGTAACTCAGGGCACCTGGGTCTGGTGCTCTGCAGCTATCTTAAAGCCTCTCTGCTCCTGTCTGCGCTCTCGCTCTGTTTTCCTGCAGGCACCCGGCTCTGATGAGTATAAATGTGTTGAATTGACCAGTGTTGTGAAAATAAACACCTTTACCTACCCGTTGACATGTTGTGTCTCCTTTTTGTTGTGGCCTTTTGAGCCAGGTCGCAACAAGTAGTATTGGAGAATATCTCATCACTTATTTAAATATTTACTTATCTTCTCTTTACATATTGGGGAAAATATAAACACAATTTATCGAAATCTCTACAAAGTCCTCCCCTGCAGTACATGCATACAGTTTTAAATAAATATACACATGGCTAAATGTGCTACAACCTGCTTAACGAGGTGAAGTGGAAACAAACAATTATGACAATGAGACTTATTTCTTTGTTTCTCTCCTCAGGGAAAGCCCCCCACAAAAAAAGCCACGGTGCTGAACAAAGTGAACAAAGCCCCAGCACAGGAGGGTGAGCACACACACACACACACACACACACTCACTCACTCACTCACTCACTCACTCACTCACTCACTCACTCAGAAACACACACACACACACACTCACTCACTCACACAGAAACACACACACACTCACTCACTCAGAAACACACACACACACACACACACACACACACTCACTCACTCACTCAGAAACACACACACACACACACACAGAAACACACACTCACTCACACACACACACACTCATAAACACACACAAACACACACTCACTCACTCAGAAACACACACACACACACACACACTCACACACACACACACACACACACTCATAAACACACACAAACATACACTCACTCACTCAGAAACACACACACACACACACACTCATACAGACACATACAGAAACACACACACACTCATACAGAAACACACACACACACACACACACACACACACACACACACACACACACACACACACACACTCATATAGAAACAGACAGACACACACACACACACACTCATACAGACACACACAGAAACACACACACACTCATACAGACACACACACACACGGACACACAGAAACAAACACACACACACACACAGAAACACACGCACAGGCTCACACAGAAACACAGACACACTCACACATAGACACACAGAAACACACACACTCATACAGAAACACACACACTCACACAGACACACACACACTGACACACAGAAACAAACACACACACACACACACACACACACACACACACACACACAGAAACACACGCACAGGCTCACACAGAAACACAGACACACACACACATAGACACACACACACACACACACACACACACACACACACACACACACACACACACACACACACACACACACAGAAACACACGCACAGGCTCACACAGAAACACAGACACACTCACACATAGACACACAGAAACACACACACACAGAAACACACACACAGTAAATGACTTAATTACAGTGTAAAATCAGAGGTAAATCAGTTATTTTAAGTATTGTTTCTAACTTTGTGACTGATTTCCCTGCAAAGACCAGAAGCTGCATACAGTACATGTGCACGAATATCTCATGAAATCTTTTTTTGAATCCTCGTTTGTTCCCACTCTGCAGCATCTCCTGCAGGTTTTGAATGGGGAGCCTACCTGGAGAAGGAGACGGCTCTCGCTGCTGCCGTTTCCTGCTTCAGACACGTGAGTCTGAGAAGAGTCACTAGAAACTCTGATTTCACTCACAGATCAAATGCAATATATAAATCTACTCTTGCATACACACAGCCTTTTTACCCAAGCATATACACCCTTGTTGTATATTTAACGAAAAACAATACTTTTCAAAATAATCAGGTAAACACTAGAAGTTACGGTGCTGACAATAACGCTCTAAATTCCTGTGAAATATATACGATGCGTCAGTATTTTTATGAATGGCTGTTAGAAATAGAAATAGGTGTGGTTTAGGCAGGCAGTAGGAGGCACATATTATATATAACTATTGTGGTTTTTTAGGGTGACTTTGAAACATCTGTCCAGTGACTGAAGATACAAAATAGCATCTAACTCTGGTTTATACAGCAATGTTTATTAATATGCTCTGTTAAATAAACAAATGAATAAATAGGAACACATAATGCAACAGGTGAGGTGAGGCACAAAGTCACACGCTTGCTAGTCATTAGATATTCAGGATTTAAGAATATAAGAGATAAGATACTTTATTGATCCCAATTTGGGAAATGTTTCACACACACGCACAGAAACACACGCACTCACACACACACACAAAATATACATGTTGAATTACAAATGTACAGTAACAAAATATAAAGCAAGTTATTATACATAAGTATGTGAGGCATACAATATTAAATATTACATTGAAATATTTTCCACAAGCCTGGTTTAGCATTGCAGTCTAACAGAAATGAGTGAAGCTAACCTCCCCCCCCTTTAGGCTCCCCTGTGTGCTCAGTGGGACGACATCTCTCTGGGGATGAAGGTGGAGGTCCTGAACACAAACGCTGTCCTGCCCAGTAAAGTCTACTGGATCGCTTCTGTCATCCAGATCGCAGGTGAGGACATGATTATGAATTGAAGTCTATCCTTCTTACTCGTAATCGATGTTAACGCTTCTCTGTGGAGCTATAATCAAAAGAAATGGCCTCATATCAACCCAAATAATAGGTTTAAATTGATCAGGCATGTTTGGAAATACAGTAGCGTGAATATTAACTTTTGTATTCAACCTCAGGGTTTCCCACACATAGACTATACCTGGGCGGGCCGCCCAGGTATATTAACGGCCGCCCAAGTATATTTCGCGACCCATTTAGTTTTTTTTTTTTTTTTTATAAATCTTTTTTTTAATGTTTTTTTTTTTTAATTCGTCCGTGACCACGACGCCATCTGCGATCGATTAACTTGTAGACAATGATCCCTCGCTCCCTTGCTCTGATCTCGCCTCCCTCTGGCCTGTTAAGTGGCCTGCCTCACACAGGGTGACTGGCTGTCCACATGATGTGGCCTGCCGACATGGCCACTGTCATACAGATCATAAATCAAAGCCCTTGATTGGTCTCTGTGTGTCATTCAAGCTCAGGATAACCTCAGCTCAGGTGAGGTAAAGCACTCTCTGAGTGTTTAGATAGTTAACTTAGTCTAAGTTCTCAGTGGGTCTCAAACGGTGTGGTCACCATTTATGTAAACACATATTTCCATTTGAGAGGGTAGTGATTGGTCTAATGCAGGGGTGGCCAACCAGTCAGAGGTTAAGAGCCACATTTTTTCTATGTTTCTGCAAAGAGCCACATCAAACACACAGTCACTGATAACGCTTGTTTCAGTTTTTTGTTTTCTGGAGACAAGATTTCAACCACGTCACTGATGCATCTTTGTGGCATTGGGATATATATTTTTTAAATCCTCTGGAGCAGAGAGAGGAGCTGTGGATTATTGTTATTGATTAATGCATCAGTGTTTCTTAGGGTCAAAAACACTAAACTCACAACTTAAAATGAAAGCGTTTAGTTTATTTAATAAAAGAGCACATGTTCAATGTGAAAAGTGACAGTAGTTATAGATTATTTGCAATTTGGTGCTATATATATATTTAAAAAATATATATTATATATATTTTTGAAACACCTTGAATTTCAGGGGCGGGCGCGGGGCTCCGTTGGCGGGGCGCAGCGCCCCTCCAACACAATGGTAGGGGAAACACTGGATAGTGTTTAATCAACGATAGGTTTTCCCCCCCTCAAAGGTGATTGGTTCACTGCATCGCAGGTATTATTGTGATTGGCTCTTGGGTCACATCAAAATTAGACGCGCTGTCATCCTCTCACACTGACACCTGACACCACACATACACACGTAGGGAGAGCCGGGACGAAAGTAACACGGGACGAAAGTAACACGGGACGAAAGTAACGGAGCGATTTTATCCGAGCCCAAACCACTTTGACCGGCCAAATTACGTCAGAATTATCAGCATTCAATACTTAACAGACCTACTAAATATCAGGTTTAACTGTCAGGAGTAGCTAGTGTTGTCACGGTACCAACATTTTGGTTTCGATACCAAGTCAAGAATTGCGATTCCGATTATTTTTCGATATTTTCTTTAAAAAAGGGAAACAGTCTTAAATGTAATTATTGTGCTTTATTTCACACCAGAACCAGAACACAAACTTTTAAACAATGAGAACAATAAATAAAATAAATGACAAGAATTCGTATTAAATAAAATTAATACGTCTCACAGACAGGCCTCGTGGTGTCCGTAGGCTTGCCCTCACTGTCAGAGATATCGCTCAAATACTTCCAAATTTCGCTTCTGGCGTCTTTTTTGTCAACAAGCCGAGGCGCAGCGGCAGTTGCACTCCCACTTGCAGCCATGCTTCTCGTTTTCTCACATGCTCTGGCTGCTAGCGCGTGCACGAGAGAGGGGAGGCACTTAGAGCGTGCTTGAGAGGGGAGGGACTTAGAGCGTGCTTGAGAGGGGAGGGACTTAGAGCGTGCTTGAGAGGGAGGGACTGCAGGCAAGGCTGCAGTGCAGGGAGTGGAAGCAGAGCGCTGAACACACACGGCTCTTATTAAAACGGCGCTTTCTCACCGGAGTACTTTTCCCCGTCATTCTTAAAGTACCGATACTAATGAAACGGCGGAATCGTAACGTTTTTAACGGCAGGGTATCGCGGTACCTTTCAAGTATCGGTACACCGTGCAACACTAGTCAGGAGTCAATGTCTCCCCCAAACTCACACATATACAATTCGATATGAACTGAAGAGCCGCATGAAACTAGGCAAAGAGCCGCATGCGGCTCGAGAGCCGCGGGTTGGCCACCCCTGGTCTAATGGATAGTGAGGTGGGCTGAAGATCGGAAGGCTGTGAGTTCAAATCCCGCCAGGAACACCACCACTAGTGTGCCCTTGAGTAAGGCACTTAGCCCTTAGTTACTCCAGGGAGAATGTCCCTGTAATCGGTCATTATAAGTCGCTTTGGATAAAAGCGTCAGCTAAATGAAATGTAATGTGATTAGTAAAATATGCATGAATAAATAAATAAAAAGTTAACTAGGTGAAAAAAGGTTAGATACACTTTTAAAACTTGTTGAGAGAAAACTAGTCTTTGCTGCTGCCTCAAAGATGAGGGGGGGAGAGGAGGGAGAGGGGGGAGACAGGAGAGGCTGATTCAGGAGCACAGACACACTCACAACTATAAATGAACCAAAAATAAATTAACAAGTTTCAGTGTTTTTTTCATATTGGAAATGGTATGTTATTGGTTATGGCCTTGATTTTATGATTATTGAAATGTATACAGTTCTGTTTCATATAGGTGTTTCCATAGATCTAGTCTCTTTATTTTCCCCTCAAAATGCACCAGATTGATGCATTTAACTCCAAAATAAAAAATAAAATCTTACTGGGGGGGCATGCCCCTGGACCCCCCTAGAGGATTTGAGGTCGACCCCCACTAAAAATCACATGGATAGGTTCCTAAATACATTAATAAATACATTTATTTTTTTAAATAGTAGCCCATTTCCATATGTTCATGTGTGGGTAGTAGATTTAAACTATAGGGCTATCATTATGGACCCTGCCTGTACCTGTACCTGTTCGCTCTGCCATCGCGTGAAGGGTCTGCTAACAAGCGACCAACAGAAAGGTTAATGTTGTTGCACGTCACCTCAACCCCCCCCCGCTACCACCACCCCCCAAAGTATATTTCAGATCTGTGGGAAACACTGGCAGTTAATGGACCAGCACCAGAGGCATTCCCATACACACAGGCGTTGGAGCTGTTCTTCATGAAATCCCAGAAGGATGAAGTGCTCTGACAAACAGTGCCATCTTTGCGCAAAATGATTATACCGGAATAAAAAGTCAATAAATAATGTTGTTAAAACTTTTTTTTTTTTTTCGCGCACCCCCCCCCCCCCCCCCCCCCCCCCCCCTCCTTGCCACCACCCGCCCAAGTATATTTCATATCTGTGGGAAACACTGAGAGTCTTCTTGCAACTGTTTGATGTCTCTTTGTAGTCGTCTTATTTATTTTGGTAGTCATTTTGTGTCTCTTTCTGGTAAGTCTCCTGCACCTCTTTGCACTTGTTTTGGTCACTTTGGGTGTTTGTCTTTATTTTTGGTAATTGAATTTAAATAAATGCTGGAAGGAGTTCCTCATTGACATCAGGAGAGCAGGAACTCTACAGATATTCAATCGCAAACTGAAAACCAATTTAATTTAGCTTGTACCTTGGCCATTAAATCAAAAATAAATTTAAAAAGGAGGGACACTTAAAGGTGGGGTAGGTAATTCACTTCAGAAACACTTTTTGTTATATTCCATGGAATGCTCTTAACATCCCGATAGCAATGAATATATGAAATGCTTTGACAATAAATACATAAAATATTTCCTCTGTGGAAGCCGTGGCGCTGTAAAAGCACGACCAATCATCTGAGCCGGCTAAAGTAACTGGATGGCCTACCTGCCTGTCAGCCTTCCATCTGTGCACAAATTTATCTGTGCACACCCCCCCCCCCCCCCCCCCCCCTCCTTGCCACCACCCGCCCAAGTATATTTCATATCTGTGGGAAACACTGAACCTGTATTAGAACCAGGAGTGACCAAGACTGCAGCGCAAGAGAAGTTTAGACACCCATACGGATTAAAGCAAAACAGAAGGAATTAAAACAAAAGCATGCACATTTTAGATATTAAAACAACAGCAGTGGGAGGCTGTGGCGCAGTGGACTAGTGTGTTGGTGTTCGGATCATGGGAGCACAGGTTCAAACCCCACTGCAGTCAGCATGTCGTTGTGTCCCTGAGACACTTCACCCCAAATTGCTCCTGTGGGGATTGCCCACAGTATTGAGTATGTAAGTCGCTTTGGATAAAAGCGTAACGTGTAATGCAGTGAGAAAATGTAATTGACTCTCCTCTCGTCTGCAGGATATAAAGCACTGTTGAGGTACGAAGGCTTTGAGGAAGACAGCAGCCATGATTTTTGGTGCAGCCTGGTTTCTGCAGAGCTGAACCCGATCGGATGGTGCGCCATGACGAGCAAACTGCTGGTGCCCCCACAAGGTGAGGACTCACACAATAAGACAGTTAATATGACTTCATAATGTCTTTTTTATTTATATTTATCTAACTCTCTGAACACCACTACCTGTACTTGTGATTGAAATGCATGGTTTCTTTAAAAAAAAGAAATGCCTAAATCAGGAGTGGCCAACCCGCGGCTCTCGAGCCGCATGCGGCTCTTCGCCCAGTCTCATGCGGCTCCTCAGTTCATATCGAATTGTAATTGTGTTTTTTTTTTTGCGCATATGTATCCCAGTTCACAAAGGGTTAACAACACACAAGTTCCAGTCCAATCGTTACACAGAGTTTTCAACAAATAAGTGCTTTAGCCAATCAGAATGCAGATCCTGCAGTACTGGAGGCGGGCTTTACTGCACTCGCGATGTGACAGTGAAGGGAGAGATCTGCTTCCGATCGGCAGAAATATAACTCAGATAAAACCGTAATAACTCAATATAATGTTGTCAAATCAAAATGTCCGTGTCCGTGTGTGTCCGTGGATTGGTCAATTTGGACCAAACAGCGGGGGCTTAACGTAACGGCTCCGCGAACGTAACGGCTCCACGGATTGGTCCATTTGGTTCCGGGTAACGCATGACCGTATCACGTCATAGCTCTGGGCGCGGCTACTGGCCATTCCTACGTCAAAGTACCCAGGAAGTAAACAATGGACAATGACTTATCTCCAACGAGGCGTTCTGGGGCAGCACAGACAGGTCTTTCCTGTGTTAGAGTTGTACTCGCTACAGGGTGCACTTTGAGGGTTTTGACTCTGCAGACCGTTTACATGCAGAAAAACCTTCATAACTCACAAGGGGACGGGTAATAACCGGAAAAGCATGACATGGGACCTTTAAATAACGCTAACAACGTTTTATTTATCTGAAGGCTCCTTTGTCAAAATTATTGTTCATTTTTAGATTTTAATTTTGTATGTGTGAGAGATGGAGAGGGGCACACAGAAAGGCTGAGAGCAAAAGAGAGAAGGAGAGAGAGAGGTCGGGGCACATACACCCAGCATGTGTGCCTGTGTGTATGATGTGGCTGTTTGCAGTAACACAGTAAAATGATTGGCTCTTTACCTCTGATTGTTTGGCCACCCCTGGCCTAAATGATCTCGTTAATCGTAGCTAGAATCTGGATTACAGGTATTATCGTGTGATGGCCTGAGAGCTAAATCATGTGTGACAGAAGCTTGCGTCAGTAGAAAATTCCCAAACTTCAGACTAGGAACAAATATAGCAATATACATTTTAAAACAAGTATGATACACTGCACACAATTGGAGTTTGAGTCCCCCCTACTTCTAGTTACTATATAGGACTTGAGAAATAAGGCCACATTGAAAAATAATCAAATATCATGAGGGTCATTACAGCAGATTCTCTTGGGGACCTATCATGCAAAATGCACTTTTTGGTGTCTTTTATACATCAACATGTGTCCTCGGTGTGTCGGGGAACTCACGCAGCGTCAGAAAATAAAACCCTCTCTCTTTTCCTCCGTACCCAAATCTCTAAAAACGGGGAACAACGGAGCTGATCCAGATTTGCGTCCGATATGACGTAATATCTGAAATGTGGACCCACGGCCCAATCAGAAATGTTGCTATCAGAAACAATGCCTGACTGTTTTGGACGTAATATGGTCGGTGTTTACGTTAGCATCGCTAACACTCCGAGCTAACCTGTACTGGAGAGCATGTGTGTGAAGAAGCAGGAAGTAAAAAGGAACTCACCTTGTGGTATAACCGGCAAGAGAGAAAGCCTTTGAGCTCCAAACTGTTTCAGAAATAATCCTTGATAATCCATGATATGGCGTTTCATCACGGCAGCATTTAGTTTAGGCAGTAGCTGCTTTAAATGTGTTGTGTTAGCCTTCATCAGATCTTTTATAGGATATGATCTAAATTGAGGAATATTGTCTCCCCAGACGTGAAGCAGCACATCCCAGATTGGAAAGAGTATCTGATGAAGACGCTGGTGGGGAACCACACATTACCTGTGGACTTCTACCTGAAGGTAAGTCTGAATATACTGAGGCTCATTTTATTATAAGTATAATTAATAGTCTTTATTAAACAAGCACCATGCATAAAAAACAAGAAAAGTGATGATGAAAAAATAAAAAAGGAGGGTCTGAGCTCATGCGGGACCCGGCAGCTACTGTCTAAACTAAATGCTGCGGTGATGAAACGCCATATCATGGATTATCAAGGATCTGAAACAGTTTGGAGCTCAAAGGCTTTCTCTCTTGCCGGTTATACCACAAGGTGAGTTCCTTTTTACTTCCTGCTTCTTCACACACATGCTCTCCAGTAAAGGTTAGCTCTGAGTGTTAGCGATGCTAATGTAAACACGGACCATATTACGTCCAAAACAGTCGGGCATTGTTTCTGATGGCAACGTTTCTGATTGGGCCGTGGGTCCACATTTCAGATATTACGTCCCCTTTCAATTTCTGCCTCATGTTGTTATTGTATTCAAGTTTCTGTGGTTTTAATTTTAACATTTGTTCTTTCTTGTGAATCACTTTGTGGATTCTATTTCTGTGAAAGGTGCTATACTAACTAAACGTATTATTATTATTATTAGTTGGGAGAGAGCATGCGGACCTCCTTCAGAGTCGGGATGCGGGTGGAGGTGGTCGACCCGAAGCATGTGAGTCGGACTCGATTGGCGGCGGTCCACTCGATCAGAGGGGGCCGTCTGCGGCTGGTTTACGAGGACCAGAGCGATGCACCCGAAAACATCGTTGACGACTTCTGGTGCCACCTGGCGAGTGCTCTGCTGCACCAGATCGGCTGGTCCCAGCAGGTCGGACACAACATCAAAGCACCAGGTACGATTACTAATGGGTTAAACTAGTGATTAGGTTAGATTTGCTGCCGATATGAAGTCAAATCGGCGGACCCTCAGAAAGTTGCTATCAGAAACAATGCCCGACGTGTTTTGGATGTAATCTCGTCTTTGTTTACATTAGCAAGCCTCGCTAACACTCAGAGCTAACCTGTACTGGAGAGCACATGTTTAAAAAGCAGGAAATAAAAAAAGGAACTCACCTTGTGATAAACCCGCAAGAGAAAAAGCATTTGAGCTCCATACTGTTTCAGAGATAATCCTTGATGTGGTTTAGAACAGGATGGCGTTTCATCACAGCAGAATTTAACTTTATCTCCAGTAGAATTCTGATCAGGCATTAGCTCCGCCTCCTCTTTTTTTTTTTTAGCTAAGGACCCAGATCAGCCTTTCTCTAACATGCTTAAATAGAGGGGTATGAGGGACGTCTAAAATGCATGATCTGTTTGTTGTACATCATATGTTATTATATATTTGTATATGTCTGAGACCAATAATGTATGGCTAAAAATAGCATGATAGGGGCACTTTAAACTATTAAAAATGCTTATTTTTATTTCAGTAACCACTACGGGACCTGCTTCCAAGTCCTTCAGAGGGAACTATGACAGTTCATTCGTGCTCTTTAAAAAGGTAAGTGTAGACATCCCTCATACCAGTGGCGGATTTAGGATCGTAGGAGATCCGGGGCTTAGCGGGGGGGGGCATAAAGCAGACTCTTCACGCTAACGAAGGATCACTTCTTCTTCAGGGCAGGAAAGGCTAAGCAGTACGCAGGCTACTGTTCCGCAGCTGCTGCCTCTCTGTTGGACTCCAGTACTGCACATTACTCACGAGCAGTGTTGGGCAAGTTATTTTTTTAAAGTAACTAGTAATAGTTATAGTTACTGCTCTCAAAAAAATAACTAGTTACTTTATTAGTTTACTAAATTATAAAAGTAACTAGTAACAAGTTACTTTACTTTAAATATAATAACAATACAAATACAAGTTTTTGTGTTGTTCTGTGGCACAGTAAGAGAAAAGACAACTCCCCATCATTGTAAGGCAGGCAAGGCAAGGCAAGTTTATTTATATAGCACCTTTCAACACAAGGCAATTCAAAGTGCTTTACAAAAAACGAAAGACATTAAGAAAATGGCATTTAAAACCAGTAGCAACTATCATTATGAAATGTCGTGGAACAATAAAACACAAAAGATATGTTTAGACATTTTGACAGGCATCTTTATTGTAGCCTCAACAATCAAGTTCTAAGTAGTGCACCTGTAGTGCAATATGAAATAAAAACAACTACACTCTTTTGGCAGTAACAATTACATAAATAATAAACTGTCAGACTGACACTGAAGACAAACAAGCTATTTTCAGCCTCACAAAAACAAACTAACAGTGAAATAATTTGCCTCACATCTGGCCATTTAGCATAAACAAAATCAATCATGGTGGATAAACTTAAGAAGAGGTGCTTTCAGCCTTATAAGTAATACCTTGAGATGCTTTTCAGTAAGGCTACAATGTCTGTGCAATGCATAACAAGAGTGGTTATATGTCCAAGTTGTTATGCACTGCTGCTCTCGCTGATACTTGCATCTGCCATAGTGTGTGCTGGTGATGAGCGTTGCCATGTGTGTGTGTGTTAGCAAGTGTTTGTGTGTCTGTGTATTTTCCCCATAAGGCAAGACCCGTCCAACTCTGTCTCTGATTGGCTTACCCTGAAATGTTACCCCGCGTTAACCAATCATCACTCCTCTCTGGTCACTTTCACTTTTCCATGGTGCTGTGAGAGGACATCGCTGTATTCGCCTGTAAGCTACATCCGCAGGGAGATTCGGTTCAGTTGGATCACATAATGTAACGCAGTAACGCACCCATTTAAATCACAGTAACTATAACGGCGTTACTGAATGGGAATAGGTAACTAGTAACGTTATTAGTTACCGCAAAAGGTAGTTGCGTTACAGTAACGCGTTAGTTTGTTAGTCCCAACACTGCTCACGAGACGTTTAAAAAAAAAAAATAGCTTAAAGTGAAACATTCGGGGCTTTTCAGAAAACATCCGGGATTGCATGATAGGTCCCCTTTAAGATATGCTGTAAATATGTCTTCACAGTTTTGTATTATATTCAGGAGTTTATAATTGTTTCTGTATTTAGATTTTTTATTTTTTAGATTTTCATTTATTTTATGTTTGAATATATTATTTTTTATTTCTATTAGCCCTTATTTTACATACTTATTGATCTTATTGTGTCTATGTATGCATATTAATTTAAAAACATTTCAACACCAAAGCAAATTCAATGAATATCAAAAGCTACTTAACAATATTCAGGATTTTTTTTGTACTTTTTACGTTGTTTAAAAAAAACATTGACAATAAATCCACACTGGTGGAAAAAAACAGTGAAAAATATCAATATGTTTATTTATGTTTGGAGTATAAGAATAAAACTCTGTATTTGGACCTAATGTATAAGCACTAGTTCAGAACAGTAGCGGTCAAAGTTAAAGGAGACCTATCATGCTATATTTAAATGATATAGTGTATGACCATACCTATATAAGGTTTTATTTTTCAAAATACCAAACGGATCATTTTTTAGCCATGCCTCGTTTCGCTCATTTTCGCTCTATTCCAAGCCTGTCTTTGAAAATTCTGAGCAGCAGCTGACCACGCCCCCCTGCAGAAGAGCGGGGCATGCGCCGGCGAGAGTCACGTTACCATGCTTGCTGTGATTACGTGTGGAATAAACATGTCATCTCAGAGCAATGCATGTGTTCAAGCGTATTATGAATTTGATCCAGAGACTGACCCTGAAGCAGCGGAGGTTTTGGTGGAGGTGGAAACATCTCGGTTGCAGCAGGACGTTTCTGAATGGTTAGTTGACAAGCTGTTGTCCCTATTTATTTTACTCTGTTACGATGCTTGCTACTTATTCCGTTCATATGTTGGCTAATTAGCAAGAATGCAATGTGTACAGTTTGTAACTTATAGTTTGTAACGCAAAAACAGCAATACATATTTATAAAGGGAGACATTCATATTTTCAGCATATATACAATGGCCTCATTGCGTTTATTAATAGTTTACAGTCCTTTTCTTCCAACATCGTGCAACAACCGTTGGAAAGTTCAATAACTTAGGGTGATAAAAAGTATAACTCCAACAACACCTCAGTTGTCAGCAGTGTGTGTAGTTTCATGTGTTTTTAAAAGCTCAGTTATTGACTTCTTTCTACAGGTGTACATGTGCAAATTGCGCCACGATGCCTTCTGAACCGGAGAATGTGTGCTGCATGGAGATACCACAGGTAACATTTTTGATAGCTTCACTAAGTTGTCTGTTTAGAGAATACATTTTTAACATGTCATTCAATATATCTTTATCACACTAGGTGTCAAGACGGATGCAGGAACTTGAAGACTCTGTTAACTGTATGGTGGACCATCCTGGATTGGAGCCTGTGTGCCTGAATGTTTTCTCTCTGCAGAATGCATTGAATATTTACAGAGCTGAACATGGTGGACTACAGTTGAGGCAAATAGAGCAGTGAGTGGTTTGTTTCTTTTGACTGAAATTGTAAAACGAATGCTAATATTGTTCATGGAAATAAATACTGGTGTATATGGCTTTATGCAATCTTTCATTGTACATGTACTATTATATATATATATATATTATTACACAGCAATGGCATAACACACCCAAGTGTACGACAAAAAAAGTCCACACACAACCTTATGCTTTTGAAATCAGAATATTCTTTACCCATCCAAACATGAATAATCACGACACATTTGATATCAACTCTGAACTTTATTGTCAAAATGAACGGTTCTTTGAACCCATAAAAAAAAACTAAATGTACTTGTATTATATATAAATGACACTAAATATATTTTTTAATGATTTCAGGCGTCACAGGTATCTAGCCTACAGAAGCTTTGTGAGCTGGTGCTGGGGCTTCCTTGGACGCAGGATCAGAGTGGTGATTCCGGCCTGCGTTGTCCTCAGGATTCGCAGAGAGTTTCCTGATCCGCGAAATATCTATGTTGGGTTCAGACAGCAGCCAAATTGAACCGAGTAGCATACCCGGAGATGACCTCCTCCCTGTCAGGTCGCTCATATTGGGAACACAGGTCCTCTCGGATGGGTATCTTCAGAAGCTCCTGTGTGAATGGTGCAGGGTCCACAAAGACTTGGTCGAAGATGAGGTCCATCAAGTTGGCCACGTAGCCTGTGCAATGTTCAAAAAAGCACAACAAAAAATGTGGTTTACATTAGTATATGCATGTACAAAACTGAAAGTTCTTTTTAATTTATTTATTTTATATTTGTAAATAGTTGTATAATAAATATTTTAAACACTTACGGAATGTGGGGTCAGTCTTTACTGGTTTTGCTCTGCATTCTCCCTTCCTGGGCTTTGGGAACTGCAGTTTATACAGAGGCTTTCCAGTGGATGTAGTGGCTTGTGCACGCTCAGCGTTTTCATTGTAGTGCAGGGCTGCCAGGTACAGTCTTTCATTTCCGCCATGAGTAAAAAAAAAATGTAAATAATAGCAAAGGATGTACAAATTGTCACTAATTAGTAAGTAACTATGGTTTATTTTACCTGCACAACATTCCAAGAAATGGAAACACAACATTCTTTAGAGCAAAGCGCAGGATGACGGCATGGAATGACTCCAAAGATGAAGTCTGGTGGTGTGGGCTGAGTTTGGCCACAGCTTTCAAAATCCTCTTGGTTGAGAGAATTGTCTCCAGCTTGTGAAAGGCCGGCGTTCCTAAGAATTTGAAAATCAAAGTCATATTTGAATTGTCATGCTTTATAGATTGTGTCTGACAACATCCTGTATTCAATAGTTGTCCCTTACAAATATTTATAGAGGAGTAATGTAATATGGTTTATGAACAACATACCTGCAGCCATCCATTGGTATTGCGCAATGCGCAGTGGATGAAGGCACTTGGGGAACAGGGGGTCATCATGAGAGTGGATATCCTGCACGTGGTTCAGGATGGAAGTCCATTTGGCCACTCTCTCAGGCCCGGTGGTGGAGGTTGCTGCAGTCCAGTATATGTGGTTTCTTATACTCTTCACCCACCCTCGAAGTTTTTCGCAGTCCTTCTTTTTTGCAGCCTTCTCCAGTTGCTTAGAAATCCCTAATAAATACATTTAACATGTAGTTAATATACATACAAGTTTACTCAAAATATTATTATACTAATGTGATTGTAGGAAGCCGGGTTTGTGTCTAAATAAAATAATGATTGTATTTACAATCGATTTATTTACATGGAAATTAATATAAAGAAAAATACCTTTTTCTATGTGCCACACATCAAAGAATTGGGTGATGCTGCTTTCCCTTAGGAATTTCTGAATTTGCAGATGTCTGTCCGTGACAATACAGTCCAGAGTCACACCACGTTCCTTTAACAACTCCAGACTCCTTTTCAGGCCCTCTAACTCCATGTGGTAGCTTCCACCAACCTCATTGCTCTGTTATGACACATACAAATAACCATTGATACACACATTTTAAATATAACATGCAAACAGTGTTAAAGAAAAAAACATTGATATTTCATTTCACCCCACTTACCTGAACCAACTGGAGGTCAATGACTTTGTTGTTCTTCAGGTCCATCATAGTGTAGCTTCCGAACTTTGCATAGTGGCCTGTGAAAATATGTTTTACAGTAATTACTTTTCTCTGCGGATGGTGAATTTGTATTTTTGCTTGTAGTGTTTAGCATATGTTTTTCAGGAACCATTAATTGAACAAATCACACATAGTGAAACCCCTTTCTGAAATGTAAAATGTGAATTATATAAAAAATACATACCTGGGGAGTCAGCCCTCATATCACCACCAACTATCACTTTCTCCTCTGCATGGAGCTTCTGTAGCATGCCTTCCTGTGATTTTTGCCAGTAAGAAACAATCGCTGGCTCAATGAACATCCTGGCATGCCTTCGGAAGGTGTTGTATTTGCATAGCTGCATATTCATTGCTTTGAAGACCTAATGGTTGAAAGAAAACCGCAAGAATACATTTTAATCTCAAAGATCACCTGTAGATGTGTCAATGAGGAGAACCTGGAAAGTGCAAATGAGCTGCCCTTTTTTTAAACAGGGAAAGAGCTGAAGATGTCATTAGGGGTGCTTACTCTACAGTGCCCCTTTCACATCTCTTCTCTTTCTCCACACCACCCTCCCAAAAGATCTTTACATATTAGCATGGGTCGTTACCTAACAGTGCCCTATTCCCACCTTTTCTCACTCTTGTTATTGTTACCTTGTCCTATCTTATTCAACAACAACATTTGCATTTTCAAACATTGGCAAAACAATCTTCTGCAGTTAATTTACCTTTGAAAGTTTGTAGAAAGATGCTCCGTTGACATATGTTGCAACTGATAGCTGCAGGTTTCCAACTGGAGTACTCCCAAGAACAGGCTGGCTATTCCAGTTTCTTGTAAACTGACAATGGGGGCACAGCTGCTGCACTGATATGAATGTACCGATCCTTCTGGTTTGTACATCACACACACGCTTGCACACAGGACATGATTCAAAAAGCTCCATGAGGCAGGTCTCATACACGATGTATGTGTTGATCGTCTGGGGGGGGTTTTGTTCTTGACCACTAAAACAAAAAAATAGAAGTTAATATCCATCACACAGATTGTTGCTTTAGAGATCTTTGGTGTTTCCCTATTATCAATGTTTGAATTATATACAGCAAAAAATACAATACATAGACAAACTCACACATAGTGATATTTCAGTAACTTACGACATGGCTGTTGTTTCTGTAGCATTTGTTATGGATTCTGCTGGATCATAAGTTGCATCCTGGCCTTCGGAAAACACCAAAGAAGAGCTTCCCTCAAATGGATCTTCGTATTCCTCTTCAAGATCCACACGGGGCCTCTTTGGTGGTCTCTTTAAGGGGGTGGATGTACGCTTCTGCAGGGAATTTTAGCCTGGACAGCTGTAACATAATTGTATTTGACATTAAAAACAAAACAAAAGATAAAACAAAAATATTTTACAACAATTAGAAGCACACAAATTAAAGGCTACAACATCAGAATGTCAAGATGTATCCAAAGAACATTTGAAAAACGTGCTTCTAACCTGTACTTCGATGTGAACCAAGAGTCCTCGAGGATAGCTGTGTACGAACAGTACGGTACTTGGGTGGGTCAGTCTGACATGCAGAATCTGTCATCACAGGTAATCTGCTGGTAGCATGTGAGGTGCTGGCCTGTAAAGAAGAAAACAAAATCATCTCAATTTAGTATTCAGGATGAGAAAATACTATTTGGATAAATATCGTCTGAAATCCCAAAAGATGGGGGCTAAAACTCTCTATTTAGCAAAGCTCTTTGCTTAGCCTTTTCCAATCTGAGTTAGTTTTGAACCGTAACGTGCATGCTGTGTTTCTGACTCAATACAGATGATGTGTTGGAGAGGGGCTGAGCTCAGTAGACTGACTGTAATGAGTGCTAGCCACTAATTAGCCTGTTGCTAGGTAAGGCCTCGTCAACAACAACAGACCAACGGGGCTTTAGTTCTGTTTTACTCATGGTGTGTGTCCCCCCTCACATACATACACACAGTGTTGTATCCTAACACATCCCCATTTATATTCATGTGCGCAAACAAGTAAACACACAAAAGCTTTTACATATAACGCTGGAAAAAACGGCACTTACCTACAGAAGATTACGTTTGTTATTATAACTTACTCAATATGATTTTAGAGGATACAAAATACTAATAAATAGAAGAATAAATACTTGTGTTATCGGCTAGGGCGTGGCTTTACAGCCTTCACACAGATCGCCATTACGGCAGTATGTCTGAACATGTTAGCAAATGCCTGATAATTAAAATAAAAGACAAAGCAAAGACTGCGGAGCGTACAATATAAAAGGTTATAAAAACATATAAACACCTAACCGATTACTATTTGGGTTTGAGGCGACATTGATACGGCGAAGCTACATGCTACATACTACAAGCTAGAGATGGCTTTATCAGGAAAAACACCTCTAAATAAAAACTTACAGCTTCAAAATTGGATGTGTCCTCACTGGCCTGCTCCCGGATGGTTGGTATTGATCCCGGGTTTAGCATTAGCTTGGAGGCATATCCGTGTTGGACTTGAGAGAAGTTCATAAACATGTCCGTGGTAAAATGTTTGGAACACACAAACAGAAATCTGCCGTGGTCTTCTGGCACATGTCCCTTGAAAATGAAGTCTAGCCACAGATTATTTTCTTTTTCCACTGATGGCATTGCATGCAGTCCCCCTTCTCGAGTCTTGCAGCCAACAACAGCACAAAGTTTAACTCGCTTAGACATCCTGGCAAGAGCAGACAAAAACACAGATGTGACTGGAGTTGATTTAGCCTGCCGATAGCCTATATGCGAATGAGAGGTTTGGCAATGCACGTGGCCGTGGCTCATTCCCCTGATAGGTGGAGAGTTGACCAATACGCGGAGCACGTCTCTTTGTGACGTAGGAAAGTGTTGAAATCTGGATCCGTTTTTTTCAGATCCGTTTCAGCCCCTTTTTTTTAGAGATTTGGCGAAGGAGGAAAATAGAGAGGGTTGTGTTTTCTGACACTTGGTGAGTTCCCTGGAACACCGGGGACACATATTCATGTATAAAAGACGTCCAAAGGTGCATTTTGCATGATAGGTCCCCTTTAAAAGAGTACTTTTTTTTGATGATACACTAATCTGCCCTCACTATAGAAAGTCACGTCTACATGAACCTGCTTTAACTCAACTCTCTCTCTCTTGTCTGCAGCCGAGGTTTGTCTACATGGAGGGATGTTACTTTGAGGAGGGGATGAAGCTGGAGGCCATCGATCCGCTCAACCTGGGCAGCATCTGTGTGGCCACCATTCAGAAGGTAAGACTCCTTTATTTGTTATATCTATGTCTGTGTTTGCCTGATCTGGATTTAGAAATCATCAGACAGTCTAGAGCAGGGGGGTCAAACTCAAATACACAGTGGGCCAAAATAAAAAAATGGGTGCTAGTCGAGGGCCGGACTGGTTCAATATTTATTGCTGAACTTATTGAAATGAACTTATTGCACATATTAAACCTGGAACTAACAAAGCTTAAATTATTGCCTATAAAAACAACATTAAACATTAAATAATCAGTTGCATTCATTTCTTATGGCTCTATCTGCAGCTTTTCCAGAGTCATTGCTTATGATTACATTTTCCCACAGGCCAACAACAGCTTCAACAAAACTATTCCCCTCAAAGAGAAAACCAAACATGCCCTGTTGTCCTGAGAGAAAGTGCAGAAGGAAACATCCATTAAACTCAGTGTGCTGCTCTGTGATGCTAGTTCAGATACTTGGCATCTCATCTTGGGTGCAAGGTCATCAATGTTTGGGCTCTGAGCTGAGGAGACCCTCAGGGTGGAGTGAAGGTGTGCGTGCAATATACCGGCGGGCCAGATCTAATAGTGATTAGAAATGATCCTGCGGGCCGAAATTAAATCCACCAAGGGCCTGATTTGGCCCCCGGGCCTTGAGTTTGACTCATGTGGTTTAGACGTATGAATCAGGGGGTTATGAATTGAAGCACCAAAAAATGTCAACATGAAAAACCTATTTTTAATTTTCATTGACTTGCATTTTTAAGCTCAATTGGTCCCGATTGTGAATCATTAATCCTGGTTTATTTTTCATTTGGATTTATATTCAGAAATGTCACCCTACAAATGCTTAAAAGCTTATTTTTGTTTGATTTGTATTTATTTACAATTTGTAACTTTTTTAAACTTATATAAAAAGTACATTTCTTTATATATTTTTCCACTTTTACTTGTAACCAACACTAATCCTGATCATACTGTAAAATATTCATGATTTTGTACACTTTTAATGCCATTTTATTTTAGTTAACACCACTGTAAGCATGTGTTTTTCCCATGAGAAAAGGGCTACATCTGAAAGGACTGTGAAAAAAAACCGTATGCTTTCAATGGAAACAAATATCTGTATTTTTGGCTTCTCAATTTATTAAAGAGCTTAGGTTGAACTCACACCCTTTCCCAAAGTATATCTTATACCTCATTCACACCAACGGTGTTTCAAGGCCGGTTCGGAGCTGGAGCTTGAAAAACACCGGGTTTTCCTGTTCACACCGCAGCGGAGCAGCCTCTTAGCTCCGGAATCCGGTTCGTTTCAAGCACCAAAAAATTGTCCGGCTAGAGCAAAAGCACCGCATACGTCACGCTAACGTCGAGGCGGGGGCGGGATCAACTCCTGAACAACAACAAAAAGCCCGCGTTTTATCCAGTTTGTACACAACGATGGAGAAACTTAACAAGCAGCAGTGGTCCACTGAAGAGACCAGCTACCTACTGGGAATCTGGTCTACCGAAGAGGTACAGAGGAAGCTGGAGCACAATCGGCCATTGTTGTTTTTGTCGGTGTGAGCTGTGAGGGGTTTCCGCGCGGTTTGGCTTTATGAAGCAGGCACGCAAACGGTTACGTCATGACGCAAACGATGACGCAATGACGCAGCACCAGTCGGACTCTGGGCAGTGTGAAAAGAGCCAGAGCTAAACCGAAGAACCGGTTCTGAACCTGAAAAGCTCTAGCACAGAGCTTGAACCGGAGTTGCGTTGGTGTGAATGAGGTACTAGACATTAACACTTCCTGTATTGTTGTCCTTCATCCATCTCTCCTCTGTTCTCCAGGTGCTGTTAGACGGTTACCTGATGGTCGGGATCGATGGCGTCTCGTCTAACGGCTACGACTGGTTCTGTTACCACGCCTCGTCTCACGCCATCCTTCCTGTTGACTTCTGCAAGAAGAACAACATCCCTCTCACGGTGCCTCCAGGTAAATACAAACCACAGCTTTCATACAGTGGTCCTATTTTTTACATAGAAACCACAACGATTGGTTAACTCAATAAATACATCATTTTCTTCCTGATTTCTCTCTCTTGGCAGATTATGACTCTCAGATCTTCACCTGGGAGGAATACCTGATGGACACCAACTCTAAATCTGTACCGCCACGACTGTTTAACGCCGTAAGACAGGAAGTCCAAAGTGTTGCATTTGTCGCTGTGCTCTCTCTTTAGAATCATTCTGAAACAGTTTCTGTCCCTCAGAACATTTTAAAGGTCACCTATTATGCAAAATCCACTTGTTCTACATCAACATGTGTCCCCTCTTCTTCATGTCTCTTCTACATCAACATGTGTCCCCTCTTCTTCATGTCTCTTCTACATCAACATGTGTCCCCTCTTCTTCATGTCTCTTCTACATCAACATGTGTCCCTCTTCTCATGTCTCTTCTACATCAACATGTGTCCCCTCTTCTTCATGTCTCTTCTACATCAACATGTGTCCCCTCTTCTTCATGTCTCTTCTACATCAACATGTGTCCTCTCTTCTTCATGTCTCTTCTACATCAACATGTGTCCCCTCTTCTTTCATGTCTCTTCTACATCAACATGTGTCCCCTCTGTGTAAATAGACTCTGAAAGTTTCAGGAACAAAGATTCTCTCTCTTTTTGATCCATTTCTATAAAAACCTGTCTGAAAATGAGCTGATCAGATTTTGGACACTTTATGATGTCATAACGATGTGTTGGCTTGTGTAACCATTAGCCAATCAGCAACCAAGGTAACCCCCCCGCCCCCTTATCACCTGAATCTCCTCCTAGAGCACCATTGTGTTCTTTGTAACCAAATGTCTCTCAGAGGGGCGCGGGGAGGGGCTCCTTATTTTCATCTAAAGTAACAGACAGAGAATCAGCACTTTGGAAACAGGGCTGAAACAGAGGGGATTATGGGTAATGCTGCAAGGATCTGTTTGGTGTTTCAACCAATCAGAGACAGGTTCTGTATATATCTGAGACCTATAATCTATTGATGAGTTTAATAGGGGACCTTTTAAATATGCTGTGAAACATCCTCAAACTACACATGAATCCCCTTTTTCCCCCAGGACTTCCCGGGTCACGGCTTCTCCCCCGACATGAAGCTGGAGGCGGTGGATCTGATGGAGCCGCGGCTGCTCTGCGTGGCGACGGTGAAGCGCTGCGTCGGACGCCTGCTGCTCATACACTTCGACGGCTGGGAGGACGAGTTCGACCAGTGGTTCGACCACCAGTCGCCCGACATCTACCCGGTAGGCTGGTGCGACCTCATGGACTATCCCCTGCAGCCGCCCCCAGGACTCGGTAAACACTCATTTAAAGATCACTGTAGCATGTTGTGGAGAAAATAAAAGTTTTCTTTAAGAATCTAAGGAAAGCTGTTTTTCAAGAGGCATTTTGATTCTGATTGAACTGTTATTAAGAAAATGTAGAAAGAAAGAAAGACAGGATATCTTCCAGTATTATGGTTGGAGGTTTAACTGGTGAATTATGTCTGTGTGGATGTTTTCTCTTAAGGCCCGTGCCGACACCTTCCGCCCCCGATTCAACATCTTGAATGTCAACATGTTGAATCGGGAGGCTGTCGGCAAAATAAATCACTCTGATTGGCTGTTCAGCTTAGCGAATCAGTGCATGAGAAGCGAAACGGAAGTGAAGAAGGCACACACAGACGTCTATTATTTTTCATTTTCCAGTACCGCACTAAACATGTTTTTGATTATAAGTCGTTATGTGAAACCGTCTGTGATGGACGAGAGTGAAAATGGAACGCACGCTATTTGTTGTTTGTATATATCACGCAGTCTGTCTTCCGGTTGTTGCCTCTTTTAAATGACGAATACACACTACCGCCGCCTGCTGGTAAGGAGAGTTATTGCCACTCATGCATGCGCAGTGCGTACGTGCTACTTGGCCGTCGGCTGAAGTCCTTGCGGTGTGTTCCAGTGCGACTGTTGGCCAAGACGCAGGAGACGTGAGGCGACACATCAATCGGGTCCGTCGGGACGTGTTCTTTGATGTCAGCTTGGTGCGTCAGGGCCTTTAGATGTTTGATATAAATGACACGTTTTTCTTCTGTTTACAGTTCTATACGACCCTGCGGCACAGAACAAGAAACAAAAGGGGAAAAGAAGTATGTTTAATCAGAAATGTACATGGACTCGTGTTTTCCCATCATATTTTGTGTTTTTTTTTTTATCGGATTGTTATATAACTTTTCTTTTTTCATTAGGAAAGAGGAATGGGAAGAAGAGGGTCTCTCAGGAACTCACTGAAGCTGAAGAAGACGATGTTCAGCATCCGGACGACGTCTCCACCGACACTCCTCCAGAGCCGGAAAACCTCCGTCTTCCTCCCAAAGTTCCTCTCGTCCTGCCCAAAACTGAGCCGGAGGAGCGGGACAGTAAGTGGACTCTGACTCATTTCTCTGACGTCATTTTGGTCATTTTCCAGAGGTGGAAGAAGTGCTCAGATACTTTACTTGAGTAAAAGTACAAATACCTTGTGTCAAAATACTTCATTACAACTAAAGTCCTGCTTTCAAAATCTTACTTAAGTAAAGTACAAAAGTGTAATCAGCAAAATGTACTTCAAGTATAATAAGTCAAAGTAAAAATTGCCTTTTTGTGTGTATATAAATATATTCAGACTTGGGATGTAACTAAGTACATTTACTCAAGTACTGTACTTAAGTTAAACATTGAGGTAATTGTGTATTTTACTTGAGTATTTTCTCCTTTAGCTACCCTATACTTTTACTCATATACATATATAAAGAACTAATACATTACTATATTTTATTATAGGTTAAAGGGATAGTGGAAATCCGCGAATTTTGGGTTTAACTTATGTATTTTTATTAAAAATAAGCATAATAAACAATTTTTTTTAATTTCATGCGCCTAGTTTCATTTTATTTTCAATTTTACTGCGCCCTCTCAATGAAACGAAATACTTCGGGAATCGTCGGGAATCTTCGGGTGATGACGAGAGCATAGGAAGACGGGCACAAACAATGGCGGACATTCAATAGCATTTGCATGTGAATAGCCGACCTTTATTATGGTGAATAGATGTGTCAATACTTTATACCGAGTATATTGCCATAAATATGATGATTGATTATCAGTAAAAAATTCTACGTGACACAAAGACATTGGATTAACCTTGAGATGCGTTTTTATTCCGTTGAACACAACTTTTGATCACAAATCAAAAAAAGTAAGACATAATTATTGTAATATTTTTGGAACCGGATGTTGTTTACTTTCTCTTTTCTGGCTGATAGCTCCAGGAATTCGAGGTCTTACAGTGATGACATTACATCTGTGGAGTCTCAGCTTTAAATCGTATATCTTGTTTGTGCAGTTAAGATAGTAATAAGGGCATTTCTACCGTGTGTTGTGTGTAAAAAAGCGTTAGCATTAGTTAGCATTGTTTCGCTCAATGCTAATTCAAAGGCTTGGTATTACTCTTGTGTTTTTTCTAGCTAACAATTGTTCTTATTGTCAGTTAGCGGAGTTTCTTACCTTTAAAAGGGTATGAAACATTAATAGTTTCATAAATGTTAAGAAGCCCTGAGACATGTGAGAGAAAAAAAAACGGTGGGAGGGGTCCACTGGGGGGACCTTCGGGCTTAACTGGTTAACAATGATTAATATTTGTAAAGGCTACAGGTGATCTTAAGATGCGTGAGCTATGCTTAGGGACCTACCAGTCAAGATTATTTGTGCGTAGGGGTGCATCATCTGGCGCCTGGTCCTGGTCATCCTCGCCATTGCCCATGCCGTGAACCATCACCTCGGGCTCGAACAAATAAGGACGTAATGGTCCATCGTCTGGCTCAATATTGTCACCATCGTCGCTTACTGAACCGGATTCAGATTCAGTTCCTAAAACGACATTTTCGTAGGAAAGCCGAGAGGATGTTTCTGACTCGCTATCATCACTGGATACCTCGTACAATCCTTCTTCTTTGTCTGGTATATTTGCCCTTCCACGTTCATTCTGCATAGACGCCATGGTTTGTTATCGTATCGTCTTCCTAAGTTTTCGTCACTTCCGGTTTGGCTGAGTCGAACATTTCGTTTCTAAAAAACTTCGGGGAAGCTGCAATAAAGTGCTTCTAACATGCGTAAGGCAATTATTATATATTTTTTAATCAGGTGTGATTGTTTTGGTACGTAATTATGCTTGTATATAAGTTAAAACGAAACTATTTGAGGTTCCATTTCCACTATCCCTTTAAGCTAACTAGTAGTATATAAAATAATACCAAATAAACTTGACTTCTTCCAAGTGCAACATTGAAGTTATGAACACATTAATGCATCAATAATACAATAATTTAAAATACATGGTGCTTAAATGGGCCATTCTGCATGAAGACAACTTTTACTTTTGTTACTGAAAGTATATTTGTATGCATTTACTTTTACTTAAAGGTGGGGTAGGTAATTCACTTCAGAAACACTTTCCATGGAATGCTCTTAACATCCCGATAGCAATGAATATCTTAAATGCTTTGACAATAAATCCATAAAGAAATGTCATCTGTGGAAGCCGTGGCGCTGTAAAAAGCACGACCAATCATCTGAGCCGGCTAAAGTAACTGGATGGCCTACCTGCCTGTCAGCCTTCCATCTGGGCACAAACTTATCTCGTGCCCTCATTGGTCATGTGCGCGTTCGTGTGTGTTGGAGGAGGGGCTCTGTGAGGAAGTCTGAAGGAAGGGGCAGATTTGTTTCTGGCTGCGTACTTTCAAATTCTAGCGCACTCGAGCTGGTTTCTCCATTCTTATATACCTTTAAGTTACTTGTAGCTGAATATTTTTACACTCTAGTATTTCGTGTAGTAGGAGTACTTCTTCCATCACTGATTATATTTATATGTGACATTTCTAGATGCATCAAGTAGCATTTTACTGTTGAAGACAAACACATTCCTGATTGACTTTTTACGTAAAATATTTCACTAATCTGACTCTTTGGTGACTTAAAGAGTTCGTCCACTAGTTTATTTTTTAGAGAATAGTTTTTAAGTAGCTAAAGCTTTAGATGGAGTAGAAGTGTAAAGAAGCATAAAATGGAAAGTACCTCAAATTGCACTTGAGTAAATGTACTTCCCACCTCTGTCATTTGCTGACATATTTCTGTCTCTATAGTCTCTGCGGTGCAGGTGAAAGTGGAGGAGGTGGAGGAGGAGATGGAGACTCCTAAAGCGACTCTGGATAGAATCAAAAAGGAGTTGGGTGGAGAGAGAAAGTCGGGACAGCAACAGGAAACAGAGGCGAGCAGCATGGAAGAAACATCGCATGAAACTACAACAGGAAGAAGTGAAGAGTTTGGATCATTTGGAGAGAGCTTCAGTGGGGAAAGCAACATGGAGGAAGAGAGCAACATGGAGGAAGAGAGCAACACGGAGCAGGACACAACGGGAGAGGCTGCAGGGATGGAGACATGAGATGCTTGAAGAAGGTGGACGAGAGAAGGCTATTTTATGGAGTGAAAAAGACGATTAAGTTGAAGAAAAACTGGCAAAACGAGACTCGAGGAAATGTAAAACCAATAGAGAGCCAATGCTACTCTGACTCTCGTAAGATTGAAAGTTGTTAAAGGGATGGTTGGATGTTTCAAAGTGGGGTTATATGATCTACCTATCCATGGTCGGTGTATTACCAACAGAAGGACCAGCAGGAAGATAAGAGTCGTACTTAAGACCCCTAAAACATCATTATCTGTTAAGGATAATGCTATATTTTGAGTATTTTCACCACTTTTCCTTGCCGTCAATAGTCCTTTTTTCCTACAGGGAATTGAACCCGTTTAATTTGCTCAGACTCCATTAACAATAACACTTCTTTACCTCTTGAAACACAGGATTTGCTGCTTCGATCTGTTTGCTTTTGTGTTATTGTGTCGATTCTTTAACACTTTAAAACCCCAAAAAGTCACACAATAACACAAAGAAACTAACAATACTGGACTCCAAAACTACCAAAAAAACCTCAAATATGAAGATATTATTGAATGGGAAGATATTAACAATAAAAAGTATTAAAAACTTGATTTGATTTCACGATAATCTTGGGGGTCATACCTTAAATACTTCACATAGAGCTGCAACGATTAGTCCACTGGGTCAATGGACAGAAAGCTAGATATAATGTGTTTTGTCTCTCGAATACATATCCTGCTTTTTTCTGATATGACATTAAAGTGACTGTTTGGTGTTAGGGATTGACAAACAACACTTTAACAGACATCACCTTGGATTTTGAGAAGCTAAGATGGACATTTTTCACTTTTTTTCTGACATTTTATTGACAAAATCAGCGAATTGAGAAAGTGTGCAGGTTAATTGATAACGGAAATGGTTGTGAGATGCCTACCATACTTTATATATGTTAAAAACACGACTTTCAGAAAGACCCGCTTTGCCAAAACTACCTCACTTTCTCCATGTTAGCATATTTGACTACACAATAACATTTAACATATGATTTACAAGCTGTAAACATGAATCTGAAGATCATTAGTTCACATAGACACATGGTTTATTTTTGTCCTGTTTTATTCACAGAGGTGTTTTTTCTGTTCGTTGTAAATATAGAATAATTGATTATAAAGGAAAATGTTCTTTGGTTTGGATGCTTGTAGTTCTGTTCATTCTGCAGGTGTGTATAGTGGTTAAGGAAAACGATGTTTCTCATTCACTTGACTTGCCTTAAAGATGTTAAAACCTTGTATTAAAGGTCCCATGTCATGGCCATTTCTACTGATCATGATTCCATTGTTGAGGTCTACTAGAATACATTTAAATTATGCAATTTTCCAAACTCACATTGGTTTCTCACAGCATCTCTGTATAGTATGTGTATTCACTCTCTGTCCTAAACGGCTTGTTGGAGCTCCTGCCCCCCCCCCGTGAGCCCAGAGTGCTCTGATTGGTCGGGACGTTGCGATGCTCGTTGCTGCGAGGAGCGGACAGGTTTCCGGGTCGGCGATACAGCGAGACACAGCGAAACTCATCCTGAGCACACAAACACTCACAGCTGAAGTAAAAACAATAAGTGTGGCTTGATATTGAGTGCGAAAAAATACACGACCCACCGTCCGGGACGTGTTATTTACAATATCGGACAAGTAGATCTTTCAAGTGACGTTTTTCGGCCTGATTTATTGACAAATTATTGATACATTCAGTTTACAAAAGGCAGAACTCATTCGCAAATTGTACGTGTCCGCCATTGTTCGTTTAGAAGTGTTAGTTTCGGTTCTGCTTGTCGATTCCTAAGGAAATGCATCTTGCCGCTTTCTGTACAGGGGGCGGGGCGGGAAGTGTAGCACAGTGGCAGGGTTGGGAAGCAAAACTCGGTTCCGAGTAGGAACAAATAACAATTGTCCGGTACCGGGATTAATAAGAGTTGTGAGGACAGGAGGCGAGGCCGAGCCCCGCGGACCGCAGCTCTCTCTATGCTCCGTATCAGCTGATCGCTGCACGGTGCAGCTCAGCCTCGCTCAGCCTCTCTTTTCCCTCTCTCCCTCCCTCTCTCTTTTCCCTCTCTCCCTCTCTCTCTCTCGCTCTCGCTCTCGCTCTCTCTCTTACACTCTCTCTCTCTCTTACACTCTCTCTCTCTCTCTGTCAAACTTTCTTATGTTCTTTCTCTAACACGTAATGAAGGTTATAAAGCGTTTTAGCTCCTGTGTTGTTCATATTAACCGCCATTTCCTTTATGAAGTGAAGCAGCCTCCCTGTCTGTGTCCTCGCGCTGTCCTCCTCACATCCCCGGACCCCCAGACTCGGAGGAGCACAGGGATGTCAGTATTGTTTATGAAGCAGTATAAAATGTAAAAAATGCAGCTCTCTCAGGCCATGTCTGATAAAAAGACTCATACATGTAAAACACATTGCAATATGTAGTTAATTATTACGAAATGCAGGTGTTATTGGATAATACGTCCAAACGTATTGCATGTTGGCCATGGCCAACTATAACATTGTGTTATTGCATATTTGTGTTGTTTCTACACTAATGATTTGAAAACAGAGTAAATAATGCAACAATAGTCTGATATAAGTCTATCCTATAGGAGATGTTAAAAAGCCTCAGCAGGATACATGTCTAGAGGAATTAAATCCATGGTTTGTCTTTCTTAAAAAGCAGCTTTCTCCAGCCATGTCTGATAAAACAACTCATGCATGATGTAAGAAACGTTACGAGAAGCAGGTGAATGCATTGCATATTGCCTTGAAGCTGCTTATTAACGAATGAGTGTTATTACATAAGGATATGCATTGTGATTGTCAGTGAAATCATTTCATAATGTGTTGTAACAGACGTTTTTCAACAGTTACCAATAGATGACGAATAGAAAATGATGCAGAAACAATGTAATAGAAATCTGATATATTGAAGCTGTTAAAAACCCTTAACAGGATGAGTTTCTAGAGGAATTAACTCCATGGTTTGTCTTTTAAAAACTTTAAAAAGCAGCTTTCTCAGGCCATGCTGCGTCAGATAAAACGACTCTGGCATGGTGTAAGAAACATTACGAGAAGCAGGTGAATGCATTACATATTGCCTTGAAGCTGCTTATTAACGAATGAGTGTTATTACATAAGGAAGTGTGTTGTACGAGTGTTACATTTTGTCAGTGAACTCATTACATAATGTGTTGTAACAGACGTTTTTCAACAGTTACCAATAGATGACGAATAGAAAATGATGCAGAAACAATGTAATAGAAATCTGATATATTGAAGATGTTAAAAACCCTTCACAGGTTACATCAAATTAACTCCATGGTTTGTCTCTTGGTGGTTTTCTTCGCCGCCGTGGGTTTTGTGTTGGATCCTTTACGACGTTTGGCTTTGAGCATCTTGACCCGCCGCGGGCCTTTGAGGTGCATCGGTTTGGGTTTGGTGGCTTTGGGGGCCTTGGCTGGTTTTGGGGTGACGGTGGGGGGGGGGAGGAAGACTTTCTCCCCCAGGACAGGCTCTGAAGACCTGGACGTCCTTCACCCGTCGACCAATCAGCTCGGGGGGATTCGCACACGTGGCTCGCACCTTCAGGTTCACTTTCTCTATCCACCTGGGGAGGAAATATCACATTATCGTTTATTTAAAATGCCCGGACATGAAGTATCATAAGTCATGGTTCTTTAAGTGAAATATGACAGTTTTCCCACGTTTTTATATATATACAAGAAATGTGTCATTTAAAAAGTGAAGAAAACATGTTTTGTTGTAGTGTTTTGATGACATGGAGGCAATATGAAATTCACTTGTATTTAAAAGCCCTGAAAACAAAATACTGTATCTCAAATGATGGTACTATTAGCTAAAATTGAGTGGATTGTAATTAACCTTAGATGCACGAGTGCCTGGACCCTACACTCTTCCATAAGTGGGTCAAAAAGGACCCGTATTATAATTTCATTTTGGTTAAGAGAAATCACTTGTATAATATTTAGTATTATATTTTGGTTCACACTAGAAATATTTTATATTTAATTTGTCACTATTTATAATTTTAGACTTCTTTTTTTTACATTTTGAAAAAAAACGTTTTGAACATATCGATGCAAAGATCTCCGCTATTCTGAGACCCTCGCAGTATTCCAGTCCCTTTTCAAAACTCATCTCTTCTCCTCTTGTCTACTCATAGCCCCCCCCCATCAATCCATGCCGGTTGATCAAGTTTGATAGTCCTATACCCCCCCCCCGCCCCCCCCCCACCCTAACCTTCCCTTATATTGTAAAGCGATGTTGAGTCCTTGAAAAGCCCTATAAAAATATAATGTATTATTATTATACTGACAGGTATCAGATCTTGCTGTGTAAAATATTCTTCCTGAGAGGTGTCACTTGTGATGTCGTCTGTGTGGTCCACAGTGAATGTGGTCCTGACAGCAACAGGTGATAGGAATCAAAGGTTCCCAGAGGATTCCATAGAAAATCCATGCCGGTCATTTTTGACCCACTTACAATACAATACAAAAACTACAATTTCTTAAAATGTGAATGGCATGATATCCAAAACATGGTTTTTGAGGAATAGCTGGAATATGAAAAGATAAAAAAATGTAATTACAAAGATACTTCAAGAAAACCACCTCACCGGGTCAAAAAAGACCCACTTATGCATCTAAGGGTTAAGTTTACCCATTTTTCTATAATGTATTTGGTCATTGGGCGTTTACAAAGAAATGGAGGAAGAAGTCATTTCAAAAGTGAGGAGAACGGAGGAAAATTGTGATAAAGAAGACGTGTATTACATGCGCAGTGGCAGCAGAGGGCAGTCACACATCAGAGGGTTGTGGGCCAGGTTGATGACCTCCAGAGAAGAGAGAGGGTGGAGGTCCGGCACCTCCTCCAGAAGGTTCCCCTCCAGGAAGAGACTCCTCAGACCTGGACCCACTCCTGCCAGGGAGCTCTGAGACATCTGGAGCAACAAACATCAGAATACTTTTTCAAGATTCAAGGCTTTGATTCTCATTCGTACAGAGCTACCGTGTAGATATGACAATGAAAATCTTAGGTCACAGGTATGGCTGTTCTTTCAAAAGTTCAGGTGTCAGTCTTATGGCCTGTTGGCACAATACTGTTAAATAATACTGTTCAGCATGGAAACATTCATAGCTAACAATGACATTATTGTTCTATTAATATAAAGGGAGGTCAGGTACTCTTTAAAACAGTTGTGGGTACTTTTTACTTAAGTACATCTTGAAGCCCACACTACTTTTACCAGAGTATTTTTAAACACGAGTATCTGTACTTCTACTTGAGTAAAAGACGTGTGTACTTTTGCCATCTCTGCTTGTGACCCCCTCACCTTCTCCAGCCCCATGTTGTCCAGGTACAGCTCCTTCAGGCTCCTCTCCAGGGGTCTGAAGGCGTTCGGCCCCACCCAGCGGATGGTGTTCCCGGACAGCCTCAGGTCCCGCAGGCTCCCCATCTTACTAAACGCCTCGGTGGGCACCTCCTTCAGCTTGTTGCCCCCCAGGTGGAGCGTGTCCAGGTCCCCCGCCCCCTCCAGAGCTCGAGGGGACACGTTCCCGATGGCGTTCCCGGTGAGGTAGAGCGAGCGCAGGCTCCCGGCCCCCAGCAGGACGTCCGGCTCCAGCCTGGAGATGGAGTTGTTCTCCAGGTGCAGAGCCAGCAGGCTGGGCACCAGGCTGAAGGCTCCCCGGGGGAAACCGGTGAAGCGGTTCTTCTCCAGGTGGAGGTACGTGAGCTGAGGGAGGCCTGAGAAATTAAATGATAGGAATTTAAAGCGCATCTATCTGGCAAATCTACCTACTGCTACTTTTTAAAGGTTTCCTATCATGCTATTTTGGGTCTCAGATATATAAAGATGTTTGCTCAAAATACCAAACAGATCACCCAGCCATGCCTCATACCCCTCTATTTCAGCCCTGTTAGAGAAACGCTGATTTTGAGTCCTTAGAAAATAAAATATAAAAAGAGGGGATGGGAGCTAATGCCTGCTCAGAATTCTACCGAGAGATTTTCAGCTAAATGCTGGTTAAACGCCATATCATGTTCCAAACCACATCAAGGATTATTTCTGAAAACGTATGGAGCTCAAATCTCTGGGTGAGTTCCTTTTTTTAAATCCTACTTTTTTACACATACTCTCTGTTAGCTCTGAGTGTTAGCGATGCTTGCTAATGTAAACAAAGACCATATTACTTCCAAAACGTTACGCATTGTTTGATAGCAACGTTTCCGATATTACGTCATATCAGCAGCAAATCTGGATCAGCTCCGTTGTTCCCCCGTTTTTAGAGATTTGGGTACGGAGGAAAAGAGAGAGGGTTTTATTTTCTGACGCTGCGTGAGTTCCCTGACACACCGGGGACACATCTTTATGTATTAAAGACATTTTGCATGATAGTAGACCTTCAAAGTGTTAATGATGCATTTTAAGGACCTTTGAAGGCGCCAGGGCTGAGGGAGGAGAGGTCGTTCTCGGACAGGTAAAGGTAGATCAGACCCTTCATGCCGCTGAACGCCCCGTCCTCCACCTCCACGATCTTGCAGCGCTGCAGGTGGAGCGAAACCACCTGGGTCATGCCGGGGAAGCTGCTGCTGGCGATGAAGTGGAAGTGGTTTCCTCGGAGGTCCAGGAGCCTCGTGTCCGGAGAGAAACCCTGAGGAACTTTAGTGTGAGCGCGGTTCTCACACGAAGAGTGGTGTGTATCAGCCTGGAAAATATGGGAAGGTTAGAGAGGACAAAACACAATAATTCCACTTAATGTGAAGTGTTGGGGAATTCCCATTGCTTTTGCAACCGGCAGTTTCTATGTGCTGTGGACCCGTACTACACATCTCTGACAGAAAACTTTGGGGTACTCAAGATTTCTGGGTAAAAAACTGAATGTCTGCATCACAATTCCAATATTTTAAGCATGGGACACAGCTAGCATGGCTCTGTAAAAACAATATAAAAAGTATATGTGGACAACAAATGTGTGCATCAAGTACCTGAAAACCTGGTAGAGGTACTCACCTCGCAGGCGCAGTTTGCCGGACACTTGACCTTGTTCTTTGGCTCCTGAGTGGGAGGAGGAGTGATCCTGGCGGCCTCCTCCCTCTCCGCCCTCAGCATGGCCTCCTGGCTCTGGCAGCGCAGCTCCGGAGGGTGCACGGCCTCCAGGCTCTCCCCTGACAGGTGGGCTGGACCTCCACAGGTGCCCAGCAGCTTCACCTTGTTACGGATCGACCATTCCCTGTGAAGGAAAAACCGGCCATGTGATTTCACATAACCACCGCTACGCTAAAGGTGGCTAATGTTGGGCTATAAAGGAACTACAGCACGGTCACATGACTTCACGTAACCACCGCTACGCTAAAGGTGGCTAATGTTGGGCTATAAAGGAACTACAGCACGGTCACATGACTTCACGTCACCACCGCTAAGCTAAAGGTGGCTTATGTTGGGCTATAAAGGAACTACAGCACGGTCACATGACTTCACGTAACCACCGCTACGCTAAAGGTGGCTTATGTTTAGGGTTGCCAACTTCCAGAAATGGAGAAACGGGACACATGCATGTGTCCCCCGCGCGCGTGCTCGCGAAGATTTTCGGGTTTCTGGCGGATTTAGTTACTTTTTTTTGTTACTTTATTCCGGTTTTAGGGTTAGGGTTATGTTATTTAATTCTTTTGGGGGAGCCAGCCCCTAGGGTTCGAAAATGTTTTTGGGGGTCAAACCCCCCAAAACCCTCAAAATGCATAGAAAACTATGCATACCTATAACACAATACAAACACAATGGTCTTACACCTGCATTAGGCTACTACATCACATTGTACATCAGCATGTTCAAATCGGATATGGGCACTAGGGACATCTGGGCACCTCGATGTACAATTGGCTATTTTGTCCAAAATGTTAAAAAATAAATATTTGAAAAATGGTATTAAGTAATGCAAAGTATACATGATGTGAACATGCACGGTACATCATTATTAGACTTAATGTTATCCTTCAACCAACCATTTTCCCAGCATTTTCCCATCAATCAGCTGACTGACACACACACACACACACACACACACACACACACACACACACACACACACACACACACACACACACACACACACACACACACACACACACACACACACACACACACACACACACACACACACACACACACACACACACACACACAAACAAAAGACCCGAGACAGATCTCCACTCACGGGCTTTACCCAACTGTGTTTTTCTTCCCACTGTTTGTTGAAAGACACAAGTCTTTTCTTTTTAGAAGGGCCAGGGCCCAGAACCACATCCTCTCTCTCTTCTCCTCTTTCATTATCACCCCCTCCACCGGCAGCGCTCATTTCCCCACACGACTGAACAGGCAGACATGCAGGCCCGGACTGGCCATCGGGAGGACCGGGAGGTTTCCCGATGGCCTGGCCTGTTAAGTGGCCTGCTGGCTTGAGGAATTTTTTTTATGTATTGTGAACACAACGCTGCGCAAATGTGGGTCTGACTCTGCCTCACAGAGGGTGACTGGCTGTCTACATGATGTGGCCCGTCGACATGGCCACTTTCATACAGATCATACACTAATGCCCTCGATTGGTCTCGTGTCATTCAAGCTCGGGAGGGTGTGTATGTGTGGCGCGAGCAAGCGAGAGAGAAAGCGCGTGCAATGGTTACGTGTATTGTTGTTGTTAGCATCCGGTGCTAGCTAGCGGCGCTAACGGAATGAGCTGTCAACAAGGTGGAGGAGAGTCCTCTCCTGTCAGACTGAGAGACTGATAACTACAGCTCAGGTGAGGTAAAGGACTCTGAGAGTGTTTAGATAGTTAACTTAGTCTAAGTTATCTCTGTGGGTCTCAAACGGTTTGGTCACCATTTATGTAAACACATATTTCCATTTGAAGGGGGAGTGATTAGTAAAATATGCATGAATAATTATTTTTAAAAAGTTAACTAGGTGAAAAAAGGTAAGATAAACTTTAAAACTTGTTGAGAGCTAATAGTCTTTGCTGCTGCCTCAAAGAGGAGCAGAGGGAGACAGGTGAGGCTGGTTCAGGAGCCCAGACACACTCACAACTATAAATGAACCAAAAACAAATAAATAAACAAGTTTCAATGTTTTTTCATATTGGATATGGTATGTTATTGGTTATGGCCATGTTCTTATGATTTTATGATTATTTAAATGTATACAGTTCTGTTTCATATGGGTGTAGTCTCTTTATTTCCCCCTCAAAGTGCACCAGATTGATGCATTTAAGTCCAACATTTAAAAAACAAAAAATCTTCCGCGGGGAGCATGCCCCCGGACCCCCCTAGAGGATTTGAGGTCCACCTCCACTTAAAATATGTTCACATGGATAGGTTCCTAAATAGATTTGCACTTTAAAAAAAAAAATCGTAAACCCATGTCCATATGTTTATTCTGGGGTAGTAGATTTAAAGTTTATGGCTATCACTACGGGCAGCAACGCTGTAAATATTGACAAATAAATCCAGGAAAATTACACAAAATAGAACTGGTAGTGGCCTGGCTGGGTGTATAATTCCCGGCCTGACTTATTGTCCCAGTCCGGCCCTGCTGACATGCCACACAAACAATGATGCCGCGACTGCGGCCCACCGGAGAAAATCTCTCACACACTCTCTCACACACTCTCTCACACACACACACACCACACACACACACACACACACACACACACACACACACACACACACACACACACACACAACACACACAACACACACACACACACACACCACACACACACACCCACACACACACACACACACACACACACACACACACACACACACACACACCACACACACACACACACACCACACACACACACACACACACACACACACACACACACACACACCACACACACACACACACACACACACACACACCACACACACACACACACACACACCACACACACACACACACACACACACACACACACATTGTGCCTGCCCTGTCAACTGAGCGGTCCTTCGCATACAGCCACTCACACTGCATTGCGCGCAAACAGATGTTTTTTTTTTTTTCCCCTTTACACGGGAGTCCGGTACAAACAAATTCCCGTACGGGACACGCCCCTTTTGGCTCAAATACGGGGCGTCCCCGGCTAATACGGGACGGTTTGCAACCCTACTTATGTTGGGCTGTAAAGGAACTACAGCACATTCACATGACTTCACGTCACCACCGCTAAGCTAAAGGTGGCTTATGTTGGGCTGTAAAGGAACTACAGCACGGTCACATGACTTCACGTCACCACCGCTAAGCTAAAGGTGGCTAATGTTTGTCAGGGTGCAGAGATAGCAAAAATACAATACTTAACCTTCTGAAAACACTAGTTTATTTCCCCCTATGCCAAGCAGTTCTTCACCTTCATCTTTATGCCCTGCTTGCATTTGGTCTTCTGGTTTTGGGTGGACTCGTCGACATCCGCCTCGTCCTGGTCCAGCTCTCCCTCGGCCATAAGGGATGTGATGACCTCCGCTGCGTTTGCGATCTCCTGAGAGCTCTCTTCTTCAAGCAGAGCATAAACCTGGTCAGGCAAATCCTCCAGGACAGGATCGGTGAGTTTTCTCACCTCTTGGTAAATGATTTCTTCTACAGATTTCTGTTTCTGGAGGTCAATCACTGAGTCCCCTGACGAACTCTGCTCCTTGACTCCTAGCAGCAAGGAAATAATTGAGACCGGTGAATCAGCTCTGGGCTCCTCATTTTCCACTGTCAGTGTCTCAAGACTTATTTTTCTCACACGTGCTCTACGGTGGAGTTTCCCAACTCTAATTCTTCCTGCAAATGCCTTCAGCATTGTGCAGAGGTGCCCCACCATCAGGTTGAGCCTGCTGGGGGGAACGACGTGCTGGCTCACCACAAGCTCAGCAGTGCTGCTGGTGGCAGAGTTCACGCTCTCTGTCACCTCTTTGCTAATAAAGCTTGTCAAAAGCTGCACGCTTTTGCCCTCCACCTGACTCTGAACGTCCAGAGCTTTGGCAATACTCTGGGAGAGCAGGTCCCCCAGACTGGACCTGATGCTCTCCTGAGAGACAAATGTCTTCCTGCCCTTAGAACCATCCAAAATGGCCTTGGTTACGGACAACACAACCTCCAGTACAAAGTCTGCCACCACGATTAAGGTGGCTCCATCAGGGTTTCCTGAACATAATGACTGCCACTGCTCTGCTGTCATCCCTTTGACAAAGGGCTCAACAACAGGAGTCAGGCTGCTTCTGAGCTCTGGCATCTGCTGGCTGTTCATGGACATTATAACTCTATTAATAACCCACTAACCAGATAATTAAACAATAATGTTATTGAAGATTTTCAAATATCTTGGTATTTAAAAAATAATTATTTAGATATTTCTAAAACAATGTGGATTATTGTTTAACTATCCTAATATTTCTAAAACAATGTGGATTATTCTTAATTATTTAGATATTTCTAAAGCAATGTGGATTGTTTGAAATGCTAACCTGCCTGGTTTGAAGGAACTGATCTGAAGAAGAGACCTCGCAGACTCTGCATGGTGAACACTTCATTCTTAAAATGAAAGCCATCTAGTGTACAAAACACAACAAATTCTTACTGATATGTGCTGGGTCCAGGCTCAAGGGCGTATGGCACTCTCAACTCTTTCCAGGACATGTCGGGGCCCTGCCTGCCAGTAGCTTTGCCGATATCTGTGTTGATAGGTAATAGATTAAGAGCGGTGAATCATCTTAGAAACAGGAAGCGCTCAAACGTTTGTGTGAGTTTATCTAACTTAGCATTGATTCCATGTCAGCCACAGCTTGTTACAAAAAACATGACTGATAGTGTGTTTAACAAACTTAAACTAGCTTTATTAAATGTCAGGTCTTTGGCAGGAAAAACATTTTTAATCAATGATTTTATCACTGAGCACAATCTCGATTTTATGTTTTTAACAGAAACTTGGATTGAACAAAAATAACAGTGCAGCTGTTCTTATCGAATCAACCCCTCCCAACTTTAGTTTTATGAGTCAGGAAAGAATGCATAAGAAAGGGGGTGGAGTTGCTATTCTGTTCAATGATTCCCTTCAATGCACGAAGACATCTTATGGGAACTTTGATTCTTTTGAATATGTGGCCCTTCAGCTGAAATGCTCCTCTCGAGCTCTGTTCCTAAATATCTATAGACCACCCAAATACTGTGCAAGCTTTTCTGATGACTTTACTG